CGCCTAAAAGTGTGTCTGTGTGTGCCAAAGATAGAGATTACAGCTGCTGCTTTTTACCTGATTATGAAGTGAATTAAAACTGCGTATGATTGGTGTGTTGCGTTGCCCGAGGGGGTGTCGTGTCCAGAGGCCCCTGCCGCGTTGGCCGAGGGGTGGCATGATCAAGTGGCCCTTTGGTAGCCGTGACTACTTGGACGCGCATGTTTTCACGCCCGTGTACGCACGTGTATGCGCGCGTTGATGTCGGTCAAGGGTCTTTAGGTCAGCGGGTCGGAAACAGCTGCCTGCGAAAATGCCTGACTATCGGGCAGTGGGTATTCAACGAGGAGTCCGGACAGCATTGTTGGCTGTCCGCCACAATGCAACGCTTTGCGATCCTAAGGGCATTCACAGAGGAGTGAGTACATCCTCAAATCCGAACTTTGCCAACAATATCCACTCGCCTTGGAAAAGCTTAGGGAACCTCACTTTCTTCCTTCATTGCACGGTTGTAGGACCAAACAATTTTTAAATGAAATTTAGCTCTTCATAAGGCAGCGTAAAAACTACTGGATTAACGCGCCAGGAAGAGCTGTGTTCCTGTCCCCTGGTGACGTGGAAAAGGGAAGCTGTTTTGCTATGGCATGTGAAAACGTAAATGGAGCACTACTTGCGAGTTGTGGAGAAATCTTTTGTTTTTAATCTCAAAACGACATTTTCGTTCCACAGCATTTTGCTTTTTGTCCATGAGATATGTTCTCTGTCGTCAGTGTTTGTTTTCATTTTCTCACATTTTCCCATTCTGCTTCATTTATGTCAAACTAGATTGCATATTTGCAATTGGAACATTATCGCAAAATGGCAGTTATTCAAAGGTGGAGAAATTTGATACAAAAGAACTTCAATGGAGCGAACGGGCACCACTCTCCATGGGACGGCAATACCATGCAGCAGTCAGCGTTCCAGTGCGTCGGGAAGGCGTTGTATGCGTCTTTGGAGGATACGACGCGAATTACGGACTTTTAAGCAGCTGTGAACTATATTCACCGCAGGAAAACAAGTGAGCATGCGAGTTGCCCTAACTGTATTATGAGGGAAACGACGGAAGGGAGGACTGAATGACCATTTACAGATCTGTTTTCGGAGTCTTCCGTCTCCGTTCGTCCACCAACTTTCTTTTAACTGTTCCATCCTTAGTCAAATGTAGAAATAATTGTTACAAAGAATTTTGACAAAGTTTAATTGTCAATTTATTCAATTGCCAACTACTTTACCCGTCAATTCTTCTGTTACTCGTTGATGAACGTTCATCTGACCGCGAACGGGACTCATCTGTCCCGCTCTGCGTTGGGCCCCGCCAGAGGCCCCTGGCTGACGACGGCTAATAAGCTAGAAATGGCCATTCCAGTCTCCCCTGTTTTTGCCGGCTATACTATCTGCCTATACTACCAGTTTTTACGACTGTCAGGACCTCTGGGAAACTCCCATGACAGAATTTTGTTTTTCGCACTGTGGTAGTCTTAAGTATGTGGCGATTAAGTAAACAGAACGTGTCCCCCTGTGCTATGTATGCCCGTCCGTAGTGTCGGGACATCATGACGCGAGGCGCGCGT